GGAATGTTCTTCCTTAAGCCTAAAAACTTACTAGCACTGAGAAAACTGAGCCCTTTTGAGCATGGACACTGGGAAGTAGTCCATCTAAGGAAGGTTTTCCTTTTTAGCAAGTGAGTCACATGGAGGAGTAATTGTCAGGGAATAAAGGGGGTGGTTATTTAGGCTTTGCCATGATGGCATTATAACCCAGGACACTGGGCCTAAGACTAGGTGGACAGCAATACCATGTTTGACAGGATTGATGGTTCTTTAGAAGGAGGATTGATCATTAAAAGACTGGACTCTCCCTCTAAAAAAAAACTTGTTGGGCAAGTGGACAGATGTGGAGCACAGGAACCTGGAAGTCTGGGCCTTGTCCCAGATCCTTCCTACCCCCTTTCAAAGTCTGATCCATTGTCAAGTCCTGTGATTCCACTTTACAGAGATCTGTGACATTCATATTGAAAGCCTTTGTCTGAATAGCTTGTAATCATTCTTTCCCTGAATGTGGCAGTAGCCTGTTAGCTGCTTGCCCTGCCTCCTGCTTGCCCTCTCCTGTGCACCCTCTACAGGACCTCTAGGAAGATCTTTCTGCAACACGGTAGGACCATCCTGATTCTTCAGCAGCTCCTTGTTACCTCCCTGTTATTATCAAGTCTAGGCTCCCACAGGATTTGAACCCAGCTCCCCTGCCCCAGCACACTCCCTGCCCTGCACCCTGCCCTTCACTCCACTGACCTGCATAGAGCTGCTCTCTCCCCCTTGCCTCTGGCTGGAACACGCTTCTCCCCCTGTCCCCTAAGTGAACCCCCTATTGGGAGGCCCAGAGAAGTATCTTCTCCTCTGTCAAGTCTTCCCCAGCCTTCCCCCCATATCCACCTGGCAGAGTTGAATCTTCCCTTCTCAGCCAGCCCTGGCGCATGTCTAGCCTGGATCACAGTTCTTGGCATATGAGGTTTCTGGGTCTAACGCTGCTCCTAGAAAATGGGGATCATGTTTAGTTAATCTCTGCAGGCCTAGCTCCCAGGGTGGTACTAAGCACGTAGTAGGAGTCAAACAGGTGTTTGTTGACTGGCTGATTATAGGAGACAGAAATGGAAGATTGAAGACTTAGTTCCACTGAAGCCAAGTGCTGGGAGAAAGTGGCATACCTGTGTTTTTTAATAAATATAAGCTCACAATATGTTCTGGCTACAGTCTTAACTTAGGACAACTTGCCATGGAAGCCTTCTCTTCTTATTCCTCGTCCCCTGACACCTCTGTGAAATGTACACCTGCCTCTGTGTACAGTTCTCCCTGCCCCCCTGCCCCAGTTACCTGAAGAACAAACCACCTATTTCTTTACATTTTAAATGAATGTAGGGACTTCCCTGGTGGCACAGTGGTTAAGACTCCGCACTCCCAATGCAGGGGGCCCGGGTTCGATCCCTGGTCCGGGAACTAGATCCCATATGCATGCCACAACTGAGAGTTTGAATGCTGCAACTAAGGAGCCCGCTTGCTGCAACTAAGACCCAACACAACAAAATAAATAAATAAATAAACAAACAAACAAAAATGAATGTAGCCACTGATGCCTTTAAAAGCTCTCCCTCCTCCAGCTACCTTACCCGACTTTGTGAGTCTGCAATGTCAGTTCTTTTCCTGTGGGCCCTTCATCATTACTAAGTAATTGATCACTTCATCCAACTCAGACCCAGGTTTTCTGAAGTCAAGTGGTCCATTCTTCCTAAAATACCACGTTGTCTCCCTTCGAGGCCCTCGTGTTTCTCTTATACCATCCTGCTCACGCCTGAGCTATCGAGCAGTAGTCTTCAGTCAGTTGCTTTCTCCACTCATTGATTCTCTCTTTCATCAAACTGCTAAGATGATGGGTTACATCATTTTACCCAAAGGGATCTCAGTCTGGTGGCAAAAACATACTTGTAACTGAGTGATTATAAGATAGAGACAAATTGTCATGGAAGCACAAAGGGCAGCTTGACAAATGAGGAGTTGAGGAAGCCTTTCAGGAGAAGGTGACATTTGAGCTGAGTCATGAAAAGTAAATGGGTGTCCTCAAGGAAGAGAAGAGCCTTCTAGGCAGAGGAAACAGAGGAAGTAAAGGCCTGGGGGTGTGAAAAGCATGGCAGGTCTGAGAAGTTGAGGGTGGTTGTAGCTTAAGCCACCGGATTCTTAAAGGCAGGGGGAAGGAGGCCCCTCTCTCAGAGGGGTTTTCTTCTGAGATAAGGCTTGATGAGAGCTGCAAGGGCGCCCTCCAGGTGTTCCCAAGGTCCGTTCTGCCCCACAGGTGCTCCTATGGCTGATCGAGGTTTCCAGTCCATTCCCACCCACTCCCACTGCCTAGGCGGGTGGCGTCCCAGAAGGAAAGAGGCAGGGAGGAAGCAGATAAGAAAGACAGCTTCTGTTTAGACACAAATATCTTGGTAATCAGCACAGATGGGATGAGAAATACCAAAAAAAGTACATGACAGTTTAGAGAGAATTTGGTTAAATGTTACATATTTTTAACATACCTGTGTAGAGTTTTTGGACCAAGCACCTGAATCCTTCAGAACCTGGTTGGCCTGGGGGTTATGCCTCAACCAAGTGGTGTTTTTATTTCAAAAATGTTCCCTTCCCCATCCACAAAAGTATCCTTGTGATTTTTTTTTTCTCCCACCAAAATAAGGCGCAGGATTTGTCTCTGACGCTGTGTCTCCCTATTTGGACGGCAAGCTGTGTAACATATTTCTACCCAGCGTGAAGCTTCTTGGCAGACTCTTGAGGCCACGTTTTGGTGGCTTCAGAGTTATCTTTGGATCTGTCAAAAGTGCTAATGGGCTTTCTGGCCTTCTTTAAGCTCCTCATTTCTATTTTCTTTTTACTTCCATCCTCTCCTAAAAGAAAAATTCATGTAATTCATCAGCAGTTAAGCATTTTACTGAAATGCTCAGCTGAGGGCCTTGTATTTTTGTTTGCGAGAATAACTCTGCCATGTCACTGTCTTCAGAACAAACCCCACCCTGACTTCATTAGCTCAGCACTCCTCAGTCCACTGGGCCAGAGGTACACTTGTTGACTAATTTATACTGCCTTGCTTGTTTGCTCAGTTTTGTTTTTCAAGTTTGTGTGGCGGTTAGAGCAAGAGTTTGGGGTTCAGGAAACCTGGTTTTGAAACTTGGCCCTTTCCAGCTGGGTGACCTTTGGAAGACTGTTTAACCTTCCTGAGCCTCAGTTTCCCCATCTATAAAATGGAGATGATAATGCCTTCCTCAGGGTTGTTGAGAAGATTAGAGAGAACGCAGGTAAAGTACCTATTTTCTGGCCCACAAGGATTACTCAATAAATGGAATAACAATTTTTAACAGAAACACTTTTTCTTTTGCCATACTTTGATCCTGCATGTTCTTTCCAAATACAAATTTTATCTACTATTTTTAGTGGTGGTTAAAAAAAAGAAAAACAACCACACAGGTTTAAAGACAAACCCACCCAAGACTGAGCAATGCCTTATCCACTTACTATATGACCTTGGTCAAGTTACTTCTCTGTGCCTCTGTTTTCTTATCTGTATATTGAGATGATAATGTTTGTTCAAGGAGTGGCTTCAAGATGAGTGAAATAATATATGCAAAGCCTCATATATTGTAGATATTTAAAAGTATTTAAGAGGGAGAATGTAATGTAAGGGAAAGTATAGGGCTATGGTGTTGCATCTGTGTCCAAAATCTGACTGTACCAGTTACTGAATCTCTCCCAGACTTAGTTTACCTATATGTTGGAAAGAATAATACCTCATTGGATTTTTGTGAAGATTGCTTAAAATTACACGTTTAAGAGTACCTGGTCCAGTGCCTGGGACTTGGTAGGTAGTCAGTATGCAGACCTATTAATTCACTCATGCTTTATTTATAAAGGTCGATAGTTAACCTGGTACTCAAATCAAACAATAATAAATCATAAGTGCTCATTCTTATTCCCAACCCATAATATTGTCGAAAAGCACTTTATGCTATTTTGCATATAAAATCCACCTGGTTTACTTGAATTTATGGGTTATGGATCTTTCATCATCATAAACTGCAACCCCTGGCAATAGCGTTCCTTCCCTCTCCAACCCCCTTCATTTTCAGAGGATTATATTGTATGGCATTGAAAACCTGTAACATTGAAGAAATTAGCATATTCATGTGTATTATTAAAGTCAGGTGGGTATAGGAAAGGTTGCAGAAATGAAACACATTACACTTTTTCTGAAATCTGAAGAGTACCGATCTACAGTACTAATAAAAGGAATGAAGCTCAGGCTACACACAAAAGCTAGTTTAAAACACTGCTTTGTCACAACTTGCTACTGCTTGTCTTCAATGGCTTTTTCCCCCTTTTGAGTGAAATACCTGGAAATTGTAGATCTTGGAAATTGCTTTACTTCCAGCCGAGGCATTTTAGAGAATGTAAGTTGTGGAGGAGGGGACCCCAGTAGTGATGACAGGAGAGGAGCATGCCTGGCCTTTGCAGGTGGGGCCTGTTGGATAGAAACAGGCTCTGTGCCAGAAGCATTTTGGTCCCTGGGTACTTTCTTTTGCTTAGACGTATGGCACAGTGCTTTGGGAAAGTTCTAGGACCCAGGGTCAGAGGATATGAGCTGCAGTCTCATCTTCACTGCTCGTTAGGTTTTTTGATCTTGGCATCTCTCTCTTGCCTTGGTTTCCTCATTTTTAAGATTGCAGACTTCTTGTCCGGCTCACCTTTCAGAGCTGACGTGAAGAGCAAGCACAGTGCTGCATGTGACTTCACGTTGCAAACTAATCACCACCCAGAGGTGTGATTGCTCAGACTCCTTCATCTCTAAGGTATCTTCCAACTTTACATTTCATGATTTACATGTGAGTGAGATTTGGCCTCCCAGGGAGAAAGCCCAGGACTGGGGAAGAGGGGAGTATACTTTCTGATTATTTTCTGTTTCTCGTGCTTCTGTTAGATACCGTTTTTAATAAGAACAAACAAAGTAATCCCCAAACCTCTCTTCTTTCTCCTAGAGAAATCTGACAGAGTATTTTGTGGCTGTGGATGTAAACAACATGCTGCATCTGTACGCGAGCATGCTCTGCGAGCGCCGGATCCTCATCATCTGCAGCAAGCTCAGCACTGTGAGTAGACAGTCGAGGCGGGCTTTTGAATTTTATTTTAATTGAAAGATGTATCGGAAAGATTAAAGGAAAGTTTAGAAAAAGAAATCAGCCACAATCCCCTCAGGTAGTAACATGTCATTTTCATTAATTATTCATGTTCTTTCACAGTGTCAATGCACATTTCATTTATTCTTGTAGTTTCACAATCAATTATAAATAGTTTCCCATTTGATCGTGTGTTATGAACACTTTACATATTTCCACATTCTTCCATTATTGTCATTTTTTATATGTCTTTATCATATTCCATTATACTGATGTGTCATCGCTTGCTAAATCTTTTTTCTCTTCATGGCCATTTAGGTAGTTCGTAGTTTAATCCTTTAGTAGGTAACACTGCAGTGAACATCTTTCGGCTGCATTTGACTGATACAGTTTGTATTCTAAGCATTGGGACCACTGGGTCAAAGGACTGAATAAGTGCTATGACTTATGGATGCCAAATTGCTTCCCAAACAGGCTATGCCTTTTTATAGTGGATGCTGCCAGCTGTGCATGAGTGTACCATTTGCACTGCAGCCTTGCCAGAATTGTGTGTGTGCTCGTGGACATGTGCTTTAATTTACCTAATAAAATAGGCATAAAATGGTATTGCAGGTTTGCTTTATTTTTAATTTCTTTGGTTAAAGGTAACAACATTTTCCATGCGCTTCCCCCCCCCCATTTGCATTTTGTTAATGTCTTTTCTCATTTATCTTATACGGCTCTTGATTTTAAAAAAATAAATTGGGATGAGCTCTTTTTATATTGTAAAAACTTTTACTATATAATATAAATACTTTTCATATTCTTTTTATGTTAGTTTTTTTAACTTGCTAAGTATAGGAGTTTATATTTTTCCCAGTATCTATTATGAAAATTCTCAAACACAGAAAATTGAAATCAGTTTGCAGTGAACATCCACATAATTCCATCTAGATTCTGCCATTAACATATTTCTGTGCTTGCTTTGGCACATCTTTATCCATCTATCTATCCCTCATACCATCCATCAAGCTATTTTATTTTTTGATGCATTTCAAAGTAAATCACAGAGATCACTATGCTTCCCCCCAATAATTGCATATGTTTGTTATTAACTAAAGCTCAATATCTGTTTACAGTATTTTTTTTTTTTCTATTTGAGGTAAGACTTACATAAAGATATTGACTAGGAGAAGTTGACTGAGAGGGTAGAAAGACCTTCTTATGGTGGGAATTTCCCTATTGAAGTTCCTATGGATAGAATCATAGGCCTATGATTTACTGATGTGTTTACCTATGAATTCAAGGCACCTAATAATGCAAACTTAGTGAGACCATTAGAGTTTTCTTTATGGTTTTCATTGTAATTTTATTATTTTTTTGGTATTGTTTGCTTGTCAAGAATGCACAATTTTTTAATTGCCTGCTAGGTGCTAGGCTTACAATGCATACTAGGTGATAAAAGCATGGCCCTTGCCCTCAAGGGAAAAACAGCCCATAATAGACCTCTTGCTTTGTTTTGCATTTGGTTTTAAACTCGTAAGTATAGTTCGTAATCTCAGGGCCTGAACACCCAGACTGAGTTCAGAATGAGTATATTGCCAACCAGATTTATCATTGCCTCTTTATGAGGCTGGATAGATTAAGAGTACATTTGAAAGAGTCAAGTCCCTAACCAGTTACTGTTGCTTTGAAGAATTAAACTTAAGTAGAACAAAAGTAGGACATCATAACAGTGGAATTGAATTCCCATGGTGTTTTTGAGCCTTTAATATGTGCCAGGCACTGTGCTAAGCCCTCTTCATGTATTAACTCATTTAATTGTCACTACAACAGTTTGTAGTAGGTTCTGTTATTTCTCCATGTTATAGATAAGGAAGAATGTATCTTCTGCGTTATTTTGTTTAGATAAATGTAGGGGATTAAACACACAAAGTTATTTCTGCTCCTTCCCAAAACTAAAATGAAATAAAGGAGTAAATCAATAAGCACAAAGAGCAGATGCAGCAGAAATCTTAGATATTAAGAAAATGCTGTTATCAATGTTATGCCAACATTCAAAAACTAGGGTGAAATGAACAGAAAAATATAATTTACCAAAATTGAATTAAGAAGAAATATAAAAATTGAATAGGTCATTTAATTTACAGAAATTGAATCGATATATAATTTCTTTTTTTCCAAAACACTCAGCCCGGATGGTTATACAGGTATGTTTTATCAAATATCTCAAGGAACAGGTAATTTCAATCTTAGACAAACTCCTTAAGAGTCTAGAAAAAAGAAGGAACACCCCCTGAGCTTTTCTTGTGACACTTGTATAATTTTGACATTCAGCTACACGAAGAGACGCTACAAGAAAGAAAAGTTATCAGCCAATCTCACTCAGTAACATAGCTGTAGAAATCTTAAACAAAACAGTAGCAAATACATAAAAAATATAATTCATAATAACTGAGTTGACTTTATTCCAGAAATGTAAGGCTGATAATACTAGAAAATCTGTTACTATAGCTCACCACATTAACATATTGAAAGGGAAAATTCAAATGTTCAATATGAATTTTCAGTAGAGAAAAAGCATGACCATGTTCATGAATAGGAAGACTCATTATATTAAAGGTATAAATGATGTATATTATAGATTACATACAATTCCATTCAAAATCCCAGTAGGATTTTACATAGTACTTGGCAACCTGATTCTAAAGTTAATATGGAAAGCCAAAGATATACTTGAAGAAAAAGAATGGGTGATAAAGCTTGCTTTACCAGACATCAAGACTTTTTATAGACCTCTAGTAACTAAGGTGCTAGTAACGGCATAGGATACACAAATAGACTGATGGAATGGAATAGAGATTGCAAAAACGGACCATGTGTGGGGGTTCTTCATATACAACAGAGGTGACATTGTAAAATCTGGGGGAACGGATGGACTTTTCAGTAATTGATAATCCACATGGGGAAGAAAAGGGAGATAATTTATATCTTACACAACTTGCAAAACTGAATTCCAAATGGATCAAGGACTTAAATGTCAAAGGCAAAATTTTAAAACTTAGAAGACAAAATAGGAGAATAATCTCTGTGATCTTGGAGTAGGAATGGATTCAGTTAAATAATCCAAAATATGCATCATATAAAGGAAAAGATTAAAATTGTAAATTTTGTTCATTAAAAAATACCATTCAGGGGCTTCCCTGGTGGCGCAGTGGTTGAGAATCTGCCTGCTAATGCAGGGGACACGGGTTCGAGCCCTGGTCTGGGAGGATCCCATATGCTGCGGAGCAACTAGGCCCGTGAGCCACAACTACTGAGCCTGCGCTCCGCAACAAGAGAGGCCGCGATAGTGAGAGGCCCGCGCACCGCGATGAAGAGTGGCCCCCACTTGCCACAACTAGAGAAAGCCCTGGCACAGAAATGAAGACCCAACACAGCAAAAATAAATAAATTAATTAATAAACTCCTACCCCCAACATCTTAAAAAAAAAAACAAAACCATTCAGAGAATGGAAAGACAAGGCACAGGCTGAGATGAGGTATTTGCTATATATAAAACTGACAGAGGATTAATATCTGAAATATATAAAGAACTACTACAGTAAAAAAAAAAAAAGCAGAAGACAAATCTATCAATAGAAACATTGGCAAAAAGCACAAATAGGCATTTCACAGAAGAAACATAAATGGCTAATAAATATATGGAAAGATGCTCAACCACATTAGTAATCACAGAAAAGCAAATTAAAACTACAGTAATTAAAGCACTAGGTTTGCAAAAATTAGACGTCTGATAAAGCCAAGTGTTATATTGCAGATGTATTGGGGAATTTCATGTACTACTCTTTGAAGAGTATGTGGCATAGAACTATTTGCATATGCCCAACACTCAGCAGTTCCACTTCTGGGTGGAATTTTGTGTGTGTGTGTGTGTGTGTACATACACATACCTACATGCTCTTTTTGGTCATGTATAGTGGGATACATGTGCAAGCATGTTCATAGCAGCATTGTTTTGGGTTTTGTTTTTTAAACCTGGAAAGAGCCCACATGACCATCAACAGAGAACTCATAAATTGTTGCATAGTCATACAGTAGAATACTGTGTAAGTGAAGATGAACTACACTATCGGCTTGGTGGAGTCTCTAATACAGAATTCTGAGTAAAAGAAACAAGCTACAGAAGAATATACAGTATAATTTCATTAATATAAAATTCAAGTAAGAAAAACTAAATGGTATATTATTTAGGGATACATACAAACTGTGAGGGGGGAAATGATTAACAGAAAATTTAGGTAGTAGTTTCCTCAAAGGGAGTGAAAGGAGTATAGTTGGGAAGAGGCATATGTGGGACATCAGAAGTATTATTTTCTGTCTGGAGCTAGGTTAGGGATCAGCAAACCTTTTTGTAAAGGGTCCAATATTGCAACTACTAGACTCTGACCTTGTAGTCATGATTGCAACTACTGGACTCTGACCTTGTAATTTACAATCAGTAAACTAGTGAGTGTGACTGTGTTCCAAGAAGCTTTATTTACAAAAATAGGAGGCACACCAGACTTAGGCTTCAGGCTGTAGTTGGCCAACCCTGAACTAGCTGCTGGGTTTTGGCATGTTAAGTTTTTCTCCTTTAAATGTCACTTATATGATCTACATACTTTCATATGTATATAGTTTTTAGATTTCTTGAAAAGTTAAAAAAAGATACCAA